AAAACATACAGTATACTACTTGATCTCACCTTGTTGTTACATTTTAGTACAACAATTATTTTGACCCAGTTTTTAGTGAAATAAAAAAATACAAACAAATTGGCAAAAAATGTAGCTGTCTACCTTTTATACAATTGGTGATTCTCCGAACAATTGCGAGATCTCGCGAGATGCATAAAAGACGCGCGTCGAACGTCTGCCGCAAAAATCAAACGATTTGATTTTGAACTAGAATTTCTTTATTTCGCAGCTTACATTGACCGGCCGATCTTCGACAGAGGAATATTGCTTCCGAATACCCTCACTTAATCGAAATTGCCTATCATCAAATGTGGACAGCACATTATTAAGCATGGAAATGTCCCTGAAATACTTTCGCGTTTGTCGAATCCCACGCGATGTTTGACGCCACTACGATGCTATGACCTTTGTTTGTCCTGTTTTTACGTTCGATTTCACGCATAACGCGTGATTCTCGCAGTGAACGGAAAATGGTCTATTGACTGAAAACACATGCAATATAGTTCACAATGTATAAAATTAAACTGAAAAAATGAATACATAATAAAAAAAACATTTATTAAAAATAAAAAAATTACATAATTATGTCAATGATACTTACAGGTGATGGTCCAAACTAATTTTAAAAACAAAAGGGATGTAAGGTACACATCTGAGGGGTTAGTTACCGCGGTAATAAGATTGTCAGTTTCCAGAGCTCAGCGTACAAGCCACAACTTGAACAAATCCGTGATACAGAATGGCCAAATGCCACACAACATTCAAAGCAACTTGTAATTTCATAAATAATTTTATCTTTTTTCCTGCTATAATTCATAAAATCCAGTTTGGTCAGATTCCAGAAGATCTTCGGCTTGACTATCTGCTTTTGTAAACTTTTTATTTCCTTCACGTCCACCGAATAATTTCCTGGCCTTGGAGAAGATTTTAGGTGACCCGGTGTTGGTAGTGCTGTACGTTGCTGTTGGGATGACATGATCGCTCTGGTAAGCTGGCATAGATTTTGATTTGTAATCGTATTGTGCTGCACGATGTGTTACTCTTGGTGAACAGGCTTCAATTTCTTTTACACTGAAAAGTAATAAATCATTATTTTCAAACAATTCCACCAATGGTCTTGTGCTAGAGATTTATTTATTGAGCTATGAAAGTGACAGTGCATCATACATTTGTAACTACATGTATGCATGTGTGAG